TTGAAAATTATTGCATTTATTGTTCCGGATTGACATTCATGAGCCTATTTGAACGGGTTCTTGTGTGTTTTTGAGAGCTATACTTTGTTTTTCTTTAATCCAATAAGATATTCCAACTCTAGAGTCAGCCCTTTATCCCAGGGGCTCTTGATTTCTTTAGTGGGGAGTATTTATAAATTGGGCACTTGGTGTTCATATTGCTACATGTTTGTCATTATTTCTAGGTTTTCTCAGTGACTATAACCAATATGCGTGTTTGTGTGTGAGTGTGTGTCTAGTTCTAGGTTTATCTCTATACCCTGTATGCTTGCTTGCCTGATATTATCTATCTATTTATCTATCTCTCATTTGTTTATCTATCTATTCATCCACCCATCTTTACCATAGGTTCACACCACAACTTCCAATTCTAGGTTAATATAATAAATAATAGCACAAGTTTTTTTTTAACCTTTTCTTTCCAATAATCCACATTTCTAGGAAACTTTTCTAACAGTGAATGACTTGACTTCCATGATCTTTGATCCATTTATTTATTTGCTCAGTTCATTTCTATGTCATCATTTTCCTAGCCACGTGGCTACTGAGTACCATCCCTATCCATCCTGACTTGTGAACTACCCACTGGGACCCAGCCCTGGTGCCAAAGAACACGCCTTTTTTTAGTCCCTGATCTTGGTCCCAGGCCCAGTGAGTGCACCAACCAAGTATGCTGGCCCTGACCCCTGGCTACTTGCTAGTCAAGATCCAGACATTGACCAAGGACAAGGGGGAAAATTTTGTCTGTATAAAATAATGAATCAGTAAAACAGGAACTGATGCTAGGACCTATGTGCAGACACATTTGGGAAGGGACCTCAGGGATCAGGACCCAGGTGGCAGCAGAATGAGATGGGGACAGAGGAGAAACAATACAAACCACATGGTCAAGGTCAACCTTGTGAGCAGTGGGGACTGATTCTCCTGGAACAACCTTAGAAGCTTACAGAATAACTCCCGGAGTCCACCACCGGAAGGAGCGGTTTAAACATCTGCTTCCACCCAGCCTTGGTAGAAAGCTCTTACCCCGAGGGCTCACTTCTCCACACTTCTGAGAAGTGAGGCAAGTAGCGGGCTCCTCACCCAAGGCAGAGCCTGCGGGAAGAGAGAAAGAAAAAAGTAGCACACACCAAGCAGAAGCCTAGAGAGGGTGCTGAGTCACAGCCCAAACCGTCTGCCCGAGCCAGGGTGAAGTCAAGGTGAACCTCAGAGGAGCAGCCCTCGGTGGTGACCGCCCCAGTTCTTTGTCCCCAGTTTACAAAGTAGTGAGCTGGAACTTACAGATAAGAACCAGTTTGTGGAAGGGTGTGGACTTTCAGACACTAATATTCAAGTCAGGGCACATATAAAAATCTCAGCTGCTTTAAAATCATGCCTTATCACATGTACATCAGCTGTGGGAAGATAACAAATTATGAGCCTGCTTCCCAAACCTTCCAAGGAAGCAGGGAGGAGAGGCTGACCCTGATGCCGTGTGGGTCAGAACTGTCTCCATTGTAAAGCAGGCCCTGATGCGGAGCCGGCAGCTCATCAGAAGCACAGGGTCAGGGAGCCACTCAGACAGAATTGGATGCTTGTGTGACATGGCCCTGGGATGGGTATGGGTTTCCTTCTCTTTGTGTCTTGACTTTTAAATTCAATTAATATGTAATTTTGCACTTTATCCTTAAACATGATGTACACAACTATTACGTGATCACAAATTCTTCATAAATAAAATAGGCAATTGCTAGGAGCCGAAAATAAAATTTAAAAAAATGATGATATAATTATTTAAGTAGTGTTTGACCCCATTGGACAACAGTCACAACAGTGGTTTGAAGTGTAATGGCATAATCCCAGAGTACAAGTGAATGAAATTGGAGTTGGGTCTTTTGGTTGTATGTCCATTTTAGGGGTGAATCTTCATGCCTTTGGATTCTGGGACTTGGGGTCCAGGATGAACCCTGGACCCAATTTTCTATATGCCCAGTTTGGCCTTGAAGCTGTGGAAAAAAAGAGTTTAGAATTGGATAGAGCCCTTGCCTGCCTGCTATCATCTGTCTGTCTGTCTATCTATCTGTCTGTCTATCATCTATCTCCAGCTGCTCACAAAGTTGACCTTGACCATGCAGTGTGTATTGTTTTTCCTCTGCCCCATCTCACTTTGCTGCCCCCTCAGTCCTGATCCCTGAAGGCCCTTCCCAAATAAAGTGTCCTCACATAGGTCCAGCCTCAGTTCCCATTTTCTTCATTCATTGTTCTTACAAGCAAAATTTCCCCCTCCATCTCCCACCCATCTGCTCCTCTGCTGCTGTATTGCTCTGGGTCTTCGGCTGTGCTACTTTGAACTTTGGTGGGGACTTGTCTGCAGACAGGTGATGTCAGACTCAGGGCTGATTTTCCAATAAGCAGCGCCCCTGGCCTGACTCTATGGTTTTCATTTCCAAGCACTTTCCCTCCCCACTCTGCCCCTGTTAACAGACAAGGCCATGTTTTCAAGACCAGTGAGGGTAACAGCTAGAGGGATCTGTGAGGTCTTTGGCCGGATCCCCTCACTTCCTTCCTGTGACACAGTCCTGTCTCCACTTTTGGATGGGGCATCTTAACGCCAGAGGAAACGGTCAGGTCAGGTTTGGGGATCAGAATCCACGTCCCCTGCCTTCTGGGATTCTAAGTATGCTGGAGTTGTGGTATCTCTCCACATGATCCTGAACCAGGCCCTGTGGGGTTGGTTCGACAGGATAATAAATCTCTTTTCTCTTCATGAGGGGTCTGGTCTGTGCGCCTCCATGTGGGGGGATCATGTGTCTCAAAGACAAGTCACTAGGTTCTTGGAGTATAGGGACTCTTGAGCTTAAGAAGCTACCAAGAAGAGAAGGTACCATGCCTTTAAATGGATGCTTGCAAGTTCTTGGGATTGAGGATATATATAGTGATCATGATGTCTTAGTCCATTCCTGCTGCTATAACAAAATACCTTAGGCTAGGTAATTTATAAACAGCATAAATTTATTTCTCTAGGTTCTGGAGGTTGGGAAGTCCTAGATCAAGGCACTAGTAGATCTGATATCTGGCGAGGTTCTGTTCCTCAAGGATTGCATGTATCCTCACAAGGTAAAAGGGCAGAACAAGCTCCCTCCAGCCTCTTCTATAAGAGCGCTCACATCACTCAGAAGGGCAGACCCCTTGTGAATTACTCAGCTCCCAAAGGCCCTGCCTCCTAATACTACCACAATGGATGCCAGGTGTTTTAGGCAGTTTGTGATCACTGTGATCAAGATACCTGCAAAGAATAATTTAGAGGAAGAAAAGTTTATTTTGGTTCATGGTTTCAGAGATTTCAGCCCACGGTTAGTCGAATCCATAAGCTCTTGGTCAGAGTGATGCAGAATATCACGGCAGAGGGCATAGCAACCAGAAAGCAGAGAGAGAGAGCTCCATCCATCTAGGACAAAATATTAAAACCAAAGGCGACCTACTACCTCCAGCCTCACCCTACCCAGCCACTCAGTTCATCCACTGATTAATCTCATCATTTCACCTCTGAAAATTCTTTCATTGCCTCACACGTGAGGCAATTTTGGGGAATCCCTTATATGTAAACCATAACACAAGGGCTTGTATATGGTTTGTCCCCAAGGGCTTGGGGACAGTATGGCGATGTGGAGGTAGTGGGACCTCTAAGAAGTGAGGCCTGGTAGAAAGCAGGGTGGGTCATGGGGCTCCACCCTCGTGAATCAGTGCTGGTCTCTAGGAGTAGTTTGGATCTCACAGGAATGAGTTATCTGGAGAGTGGGTTGTGATCAAGCAAGGCCACCCCATGTGCTTGGCCCCTTCTGCATACAGCTATTTCCCTCGTTGATTCTCTGCCATGTGGTTACTGCAGTCAGGGGCTCCTTGCAAGAGGTAGTACCATGTTTCTAGTCACCAGCCCAATAAACTTGTTTTTTTATCCAGTGTCCGAACGCAGTTTTTTTGTTTGTTTGTTTGTTTTTTTATAGTGACACTTAAATGAACTAAGACACGGGGAGAAATGTGATCATGAGTTTTGGAGGGACACAAACATTCAGAGATAAATTAATTTTGAGTCTCGGAACTGCCATCACTTTCAATAGTTGCTTTGTGAAATGGCAGGAGATGGGCTCTGCGCTAGTCCCCTGGTCCTCCCTTTACAGCCTTCTCAGTAGCACCACTGTGTCTGGCTCATTCCACCTCACTTCTCCTTCAATGTGACCTTGCTCAGACCCTCGACGTCTTCCTGCTTCACTGCAGTGGGATGCTCTCAGTCCCTTCCCTTCCTCATGCACCGGTCACCAGGTTGTTCTTCCTGATGTGTGGCTCTAAATGTGTCACTCTCCTCCTGTGCTATTTGAAAACTTGCAGCTAGTCCCTATTATCTGCTAACCTCCTAATCTGAAATTCCAGAGCCCCTATGATCTGGATCTAACCTTTCTAAAACCCCAAACTCCCCTGTCTTTTCAGAGTCTAGCTGAGTGGGATCCCTCCTTCCGAGCCCCTGCCCTCTTCTTCCCCTTCTGCCAGATCTGAAGAGCTCTCTTCCTCTGCAATAGATCACATACACCATCCCTCAGGACTGTCATGTTGAAGGGTCCTCTTCGTGAGAAGCCCTAAGTGGATGTGGGTTATGGACGTCTAGTTTCCTTGGAGGTCTGGTCTCACTCCTGAGGTATTACTCTGAGTTGGAGATTTAACTAGATAGAGAAAATTTGGCTTATGGAGAAAAGTTTGTAGACTGTTGCAAAAGATCCAAGAGAGAGACTTTGGGCAAAGATAGGTGTGTTGAGAAAAACGGGCATGGAGATCCTAACACACAGGGAGAGCTGCTCCTACCAAGTTCTTCCTGAACCTCAGTCGAGTCCAATCCAGCCAAAACCATCCTGTGGAGTGGCAACATACACCCCAACTCCAACCTCTGCAGCTGTGTTCTGCTTCTCAGTTAAATGCTACTATGTGCAAAATAAGAGTAAGTAGCTTAAAATGATATATTTTTCCCATAGAAGATTCCAGAATCATATCATGACATTATTTTAAACATAACAGTATAAAGCACACACTTGACTTGAAAGGGCACTGTTTCCCCCCAAAATAGAGAATAAAGAAGAATGTGTATGTATCAATGCCCTTGGATGGATCTCATAATCCCCTCAGGTGGGTGGGAGGGAGGACAATGACATGTTGCCAGGAATTTGACTTCATAGACAAAATAAATACATAAATAGAACCACATCACCAGGATTTTGCATTTTACATTCACTTTGTTTGGTGTATTAAGTCAAAATATAATTGACTTAAATATGATTAAGAATTATTGTGTTTTGAATTAATAAGCAAAGCACCTCTTTTCATCTATTAGGGTAAAATACTGTCACACTGCCCCTGGGGAAAATACACAGAAGGTTTATCTTCAGGCTCTGACTCTCAGGCCATGTGCGAGGGTTCAAGGCTTCGGAGTTTGAGAGTTTTGGTTCAGGAGCGTCATAGAATTCTTGACCCAGTTCTCACTGGGGTCAGCACAGATCTCCTTACCCCGTTTGGTCTTGAAGCTGTGGGGGAAAGGTGGCATGGTTAGATGGAGGGTCTTGAGAAGTCGGCCCAGGAGCATGGCCCATGGGTCCCTAGACCTCATCAGCTCTTGCTGCACAGGTGAAGGACCCGAATCTGGGACATTTGGCCATGAATCCTGACCTCTTGACTGAGGGACACTTGCCTGAGGGTGCTAGGCATGGTCTACTTACATCACAGCTACTTTTGGACATTGGGTGCTGGTGATTGTATAGCTCTGCAGCTTCTGGATGGGGATCCTCCTGTTGATAGTGCTAAAGCAGCAGGTGATTGGCATCAATGGTGCACCTGAAAACAATATTGCCAAGAGTGAGACAGGCAGGAAACATGTGTGCACTCACAAGGGAAGGAGAAGGCAGGAGAAGACCTAGGAGTCACCATTGCCAAGTCCAGGGCCTGAGTCCAGATCCCAGAGATAAAACGCTACCCAAGTCGGTTTCCTCCATGGAACAATGGGGCTCCTCACTGTGGACTAGGAACAGAGAAATCTCTTCTGCTAATTCAAAACTCCTGACACGGAGAACACAAAGACCTCGCTTCCCAGCTAGTTGTCCCCATGGGCTTTACAGCAAATCTAGGTCATATGCTGAGAACCCTCTGCAGTCTTATCCTTACACAATCCCTGTTGTAAAAGCTGCACTGGATTATGATCCCAAATTTGAAACTTCAAGGAACCCTACTATGGTCCTTTCTACCCATAGTGGGAAGGGCAGCTTCCCCAAACAATGTGAGCAGGTTGATGTGTCTGCACTCAGGGTCACTTCCCAAAGTTGGTGTCAGGAGAGATCATAGGGACTGATCTTGGTGGCCTGGGGATTCAGTTCTGGCTCTGGCTCTGACTAACTGTGACTAGTGATGGCTCTTCCCAGCTTCTTAACCTCACAGTTCTCCATCTTCAAAGTGCAGGCGAGGCAGCCAGGCTGAGATGACGTGTGCTGTGATAATTAGAAGTTCAACGTGAGGGAAGGAGGACTTTACCTGACTGAGCCTGCTCCTGGGAGCTGACGGTGGCTGCTGTGAGCACCAGGCACAGAAGTGCCACAGAGACCTTCATGGTGGAGGGTGCAGGCGTGAGCTTTGGCGTGAGAGAGAGAGAGGTTTCTGGATTAGTCTCCGTCTCTCTGCTCCTCTGGAGGCTCCACCTGCCTTTTATAGGGATCAGAGAGCCTGGGCAGGGTTGGGGATCAGGGAAGAAAGAAGAACCTGAAAGTGCTGAGCAGACATCAGATCCTGGGGTGATTTCCAGATAATAGAGAAGGAAGCTATGTAGTTTCTTTTTCTTAAATTTTGTAGAACAGGGGAGGAAGGATATGTGCTTCTACCCAGTAATGCCTAAGAAGTGATCTTATTGGACTACTCAGGGCTCTCATTTCTTCCAAATGGAAATGATCTGTTGGAAAGACAGACTGGCAGCTAAAGTCACACTAGACTGTGAGGCAAGGGTTGCCTCTCCGAGGAACCAGGAGGTCCCGGATGGGGACCCTCAGGGGTCGCCTGTGACCTTCATCACCAGCAGGCCACAGCAGTGGGGCTGCCACTGATCTTTTTACTGTCTCATTTTGTGACTTTTCCTGAATGTCATAGAATCACAGAGCAAGCAACCTTTCCAAACTGGCTCTTTTCCCTAAGCAACATGCATTTGAGGTTCCTCCATGTCTTTACAGATGTTGATAGCTTCTTTCTGTCTTTAAAGAATTATGTTATGAAAAAAAAAAGAATTATGTTATGTATGTAGCATAACATAAAATTTACCCTCCTAGCCAGTAAGTGTGCAGTTCACTGGCATCAAATATATGAGTATGTTCACATTGTTGTGCAATTAATCTCCATAATTCCCCTTCCTCTGCCTTTTTTTTTTTTTGGTATCAGGGGTTGAAACCAGAGGTGCTAAACCACTGAGCCACATCTCCATCCCTTTTTATCTTCTATTTTGGAACAGGGTGTTGCTAAGTTGCTTAGGGGCTTGCTAAGTTGCTGACGCTGGCCTGAACATGCAATCCTACTGCCTCAGCCTCCTGAGCTGCTGGGATTAGAAGCATGCACCATAGCACCAGGCCTCCAAAACTCTTTTCATTCTGTAAATGAAACTGTCTATACATTAAACCAGTACTCACCTCCTCCTTGGATTGGGACTAAGCTCAGCATGTAGATCAAGTTGGGAACAACCGGCATGATGACCATGATTTTACTTACTGTCTTTGCAATTTTGATTGTCTACCGCACATAATTGGAGTCATAAAATATTTGACTTTTTGTGACTGTCTTACTTAGCAAAATATTCTCAAGGATCATCCAGACTGTGGCCTATGTCAAATTTCTTTTCTTTCTCAGGTTGAATAAGATTCCAAGTTATGCATCTGCCACAGTGTGCTTGCCATTCATCTGTTGATGGACACTTGGACAGCTTTCACATTTTAGCTATTTCAAGTCAGGTTACTATGAACTTGGGTGAAAAAATATCTCTCCAAGACACATTTAAATTCCTCTGGATGTATACATCTAGAAGTGGGCACAATTTAAATATCTATTCAAGACATTGTTTATTTATTTATTTATTTTGGTGCTGGGGATTGAACCCAGGGCCTTGTGCATGCAAGGCAAGCACTCTACCAAATGAGCTACATCCCCAGCCCTCAAGACATAATTTAAATCTCTTGGGTTGTATTTACTCACAAGTGGAATTGTTGCATTGGATGATAATTATATTTTTTGATTTTTTAAAGACCTTCCCTACTCTTTTCTACAGTGGCTATGCCATTTGATATTTCCATCAACCATGAACAATGGCTTTATTCTCCCCACATTCTTGCCAAAACTTGTTATTTTCTGTCTCTTTCATAGTAATATGAAATAGATGTGAGGTAGTATCTCATTATACTTTTGACTTTCATTTTTTCTAATAATTAGTGATGTTGAGCACTATTTCATGGGCTTATGAGCTGTTCACTATATGTTCTTTGGAAAAGTGTCTATTCAAACCTTTTGCCCATTTCTGAATCTCATTACTTTTAGGAGCTCTCTGTTTATTCTGTATATCAATTCTTTATTAAATATGTGATTTGCAAATATTTTCTCCTCTCCTAAGTGTGGATTTTTATTTCATTGGAATTGCTTATGATGAACAAATTTTTTAAATTGTCATTGAGTCTAATTTGTCTTTTACTGCCTGTGCCTTTGGTGCCAAATCTAAGAAGTCGCTGCCAGATCCAATGTCATGTGCTTTTGACACCATCACCAAATTCAAGGTTGCCAAGGTTTTCTCATATATTATCTTCTAGAAGTTTTATAGTTTTGAATTTTAAACTGTAAATGGACTTAGATCTATGACTCTTTTATTTTTTTATGTGTGTGTGTTTGTGTGAGAAAGCCATAAGGTCTGTTTCTGGATATTTCTTTTTTGCACATTTGTGTGGTTGCTACAGTATTATTTATTGAAAAATCTACCCTTTCTCTGTTGGACTGCCTTTGCTACTTTTTTCAAAGATTCGCGGACACTATTTGTGTGGGTGTATCACTGGGCACTCAGTCCTTTTCCATTGATCTATTTGTCTTTTCCTACACCAGTACCACAGGGTCTTGAAGTCCCCTAGTGTCAATCTGCTGACTTCTTCTGTATTGTGTTAGCTTTTCTGGATCTTCTGCATCTCCATGTGAACTTGTGAATCAGTTTGTCAATACCCACGAAATACCTTCTGAATTTTGGATTGGGACTAAGCTCAGCATGTAGATCAAGTTGGGAAAAACCGGCATGATGACAATGTTGACTCTTTCTGCCTGAAAACATGGAACATCTCTCCAGTTATTTAGATGACCTTGAATTTTTTTTATCAGTTTTGCATTTTTTCTTATATATATTTTCTTAGATTAACTCCTGGGTATTTTTTTTAGTGCTAATATAAATTGCATTGTTATTAATTTCAAGTTCAAATTGTTCATTGCTGATGTATAGCAAAGCTATTGAAGTGTATATACTAACCTTGTATTTTGCAATCTTGCTAAAATCACTAATTAGTTGTTTGCGTTCGTTGCTGCTGGTGGTAGTCTTCTGATTTTCTGCCTAAGATAGTTAGGTCTTCTGAAGAGACAGTTTCCTTTCTTTCTTTTCATTCTGTATATCTTTTTATTTTCTTAATGATTTAGTGAGGATTCCTGTCATGATATTAAAATTGGAGTGGTGAGAAAGAACATCTTTGTCTTATTCTTAACCTTAGGAGAAAAATATCTAGTTCTTTACCACTACATATGTTGTTGGTTGTAGTCTTTTTGTAAATGTTTATTAAGTTAAGGAACAACCTCTATATTCCAAGTTTGCTGAGGGTTTTTATCATGAATTGGTGTTGACTTTTGAGGGATGAATTTATTTTGTGAAGGGTGTGCGGTACCGGGGATTGAACTCAGGGACAACCATTGAGCCACATCCCCAAGCCCAGTTTTATATTTTATTTAGAGACAGGGTCTCACTGAGTTGCTTAGCACCTCACTTTTGCTGAGGCTGGCTTTGAACGTGAGATCCTCCTACCTCAGCCTCCTGAGCTGCTGCGATTACAGGCGTGCACCATCTCGTGTAGCTAGTGTCGGATGTGTTTTCTCTATCTGCCCATAACATCATAAGACTTTCTCTTCAGCTTGTTGATGTGACAGATTGCATTAATTAATTTTTGAAGGTTGAACTGACCTTGCCTATCTGGAATAAATTCTGCTTGGTTGTGCTGTATAATTTTTTAAATACATTGGCTTATTTGCTAATATTTTTGTTGAGGAGTTTTGAATTAATGTTCACGAGTTCAGTCTACAGTTTTTGGTTGGTGTGTAATTTTCTTTGGTTGGAAGGCATTATCTGGTTTTGGTGTCAGGTGATCCTGGCCTCATAAACTGAATTTGGAAGTGTTCTCTTTTATCCTTGATTGTGCTACATAAGGTTTACCAGTTTTCTTGTTTTTTTCAAAGAACCAATTTTGGTTTTGTTGATCTTCTTTATTATTTTCCTATTTTCTGCTCTAATTTTTATTTCTTCTGCCTGGTTTCCATCTATATGGCTCTTCTTTTTCTCATTTGGCAGATTAGAGCTTAGATTTTAATTCTGAATCTTTCCTATTTTCTAATATTTTTCATCTGATGTTGTCAGTTTCCTCCTAAGCATTGATTTGGTTTCATCTAGCAAATTTTGGTAAGTTGTATTTTCATTTTACATAGTTTAAAATACTTAAAAATTTCTCGAGGTCTCTTTTCTGACTCATGTATCATTTAGAAGTATGTACTTTAATCTTCCAGTATTTGGGGGGAGTTTTCAGCTCTCTCTCTTTAATTGATTTCTAGCTTAATGTCATTGTGGTCTGAGAGCATACTTTATATGATTTCTGTTTTTTTAAAATTTGTTTATAACAAAACCATGGTCCATCTTGATGAATGTTACATGTGAACTTAAGAGGAATGTGTACTTTGTTTTTTATTGGATAAAATATTCTAAAATGTGAATTAGATCCAGATGATGGAGGGTGCTATTTAGTTCATCTGTATCTTTGCTGATTTTCCTGCTGGATCTGGCAATTACTGACAGAGATGTGTTGAAATCTTAAACTATAATATGAATTTGGTACCCGTCATTAATTCTGAAAAATTCTTAGCCAATAATGCTTGGCATATTTTTCTCCTCCTTTTTACTTTCTTTCCCTTTTATATTTCCACGATATACATGGTACCTTCTTGTGTTTGTCCCATATGGTTCTTGAATATTCTCCTCCATTTTTTTCCCATTTTATTTCAGTTTGGGAATTTTCTATTGACAAGTATTCTTTCCTTAGCTGTGTCCACTCTGTTGGTGAATCCTTAAATGACATTGCTTATTTTTGTTATGGTGATTTTGATCTTTCTTTTTTTAATTTAATTTTATTTTTTAGTTCTAGATGGACACAATACTTTTACTTTTATTTAGTTTTTATTTTTATGTGGTGCTGAGGATCGAACCCAGTGCCTTACACATGCTAGGCAAGCACTCAACCGCGGAGCCACAACCCCAGCCCTGATTTTGATCTTTATCATTGCCTTTTTGTTCTTGGCTAGAGTTTCCATTTCTCTGCTAACATTACTCATCTGTTCTTACTTTGTTCCACT